AATTGTGCTTAGTAAGTTCTGCATAACCTTATAGGTACGTGGAAATGGTTAGTAAATTGTGCTTAGTAAGTTCTGCATAACCTTATAGGTACGTGGAAATGGTTAGTAAATTGTGCTTAGTAAGTACTGCATAACCGTATAGGTACGTGGAAATGGTTAGTAAATTGTGCTTAGTAAGTACTGCATGACCTTATAGGTACATGGAAATATACATCCCCATGTAATTTGATATTGATAGAATTTTTGAAAACAGTATGTCTTTATTTTCACTATTGGTATCTTTATGTATTTTTATTGCACTTTTGATGTTTATTATGTTAAGAAAAAACAAATGGAAGCACAATTTCTTATTCTTTGTTACAAGCAAGTACTCTGGCTAGTTTACAATAATGTTTTTTTATAAATAATGTAAGGTAATATAATTGAATTGGGTTACATTTTAGTCCTAGATAGATGCATTTTCAGAGTATTCTGTTAACTCTCAAATGCCAAGGTGTGGTGATTCAATGAACCTGTTTATCTTGTTTTGTTGTTATTGCAAATCTGGATGAAATTTCAGAACTGTCTACAAGTTATATAGCTTCTGCAAAAAATATCTTAGTTTTTGTATGTGATATTTGTGTATCTTTGAATATTTGGAAATATTTCATTGTGATATGTTTTTTCTTAAGAAAGAACTAAAAATGATTATATTTGTTGTAGATTTTAATTACTGATTTTTTTTATATCTTCCAACATTCTTTTAAGACTTTCCTAACTTTCCTTTTCAGCATACAACTATAAATTTTATCCTTTTTAAGATCTGTAAAACTACAAGCAGTTTGATTGTGTTTATGATCCCTGATGTGTCACAAGGATAACTTTGCTTTTACCATATAATTTATTATAAAACTGTAAAATTGATCTTTTTATATGACTTCTAAAACACTATGTACAGTGTTGAACTGGTGTATTTAAGTGTTTTTACACTCACAAAAAAGAAACCTATCATTCTATAGGTATTTGAAGACCTTGTAGCATTTCGCCACAATTTGAATCTTCGTATTTACTTGTTAAAATTTTTTTTAAAGAACTCTATTTATTCAACTATGTACAGTGTGTTTATGATCCCTGACTTGTTGAAAAATTAGATATATTTAGTACATGCTAAATCCATTTCATGGACTTTTAT